TGGCCATTGCAAGCTGCAGTTGTGCATAAAAACATGGCTGGCCATTGCAAGCTGCAGTTACTGTGACATTGGAGCACTGTTTTGTTCAAAACAGTTTTTGGCTTTCTTAGATTTTCCAACAAAACGATACAACATGTTTCGGCCACTACTTAATGCATGTTTAGCATGCGCAATACGAAGTTGTGGTGCGTGTTTAGCATGCACAATACTTGATTGGTACTATAGGTACTTGAATACCACTTTCAGGTGGATCCAACCTGGTTAGCAACCGCCGCTTCATCAGGCTGCTCAGATTTTTGAAACAGGCGATCGGTTCATCTTTGAAGCGTGCGCCTATTGTGGGTGCCTCATCCGGGCCGCAGGGTGTTTGAAGAAAAACATGTTGTATGGAAAAGTATTGATCCATGTTGGGTGGGTTCATGGACACACTGCAAGAGCATCAGTTCTGCATGGACTATCTTAATTTTGAGCCTAACGATGAGAGTATATCTTGGGAAGAATTTCAGAAGGGAAGATATACAGGATGAGTGATTGTACCAGGGTGCTTTAGCACATGGTTTTCCATCTATTTGCTCAGGTGCTTGCCAGGCCACCGCACACTACCAGTTCCAGGACCCTTTTTCAACCCAGCTCTCAGCTGAATACGCTTGGCCGCTTGGCCATCCTTCTATATTACAACATGAGTCCAAAAGTTGTGCCAACAAAGCAAATTTTGTAATCTAAGGAAACCGTTTTCGCAAGATGACCAATCCTTTGTGTTGAACGCAGGAAACCTCAACCTTTCGGGCAACACCAACATGTTTCAGCAGGCCGCCATCATGTGATCTGCCAACATATCTACTGTGGAATCCAAACTGTCATTGTGAAATATCTATTGTGGAATCCATTGTGTATTAAGATGTGATGTCAGATCACTTCACCCGGACTCGAAGCCACTCATTCGACAGGCCACCTGTGCGTCGTGGGGGGCCCCAAAGCAAGCAAGCAGACAAGCGCAAAAGGTCAAGCTTGCAAGACAACATCAGTGGTGCAGAGAGTTTATGACTCTTCAAAAACGCAAGACTTTTGGTTCTGGATGGGCGACTAGTTACTGTACCTAGTTGAGATGCCACTGTCAGCCATGGAACTGGAACGCCTTCTAAACAGAAGGCCCTCAAGGAAGAGACCTGCTTCCAGCCAGATAGTGGATTTGGTCTCCGAGCCTGATGAAGAAGATGAAGTCCAGAAACCTGCGTTGTCCGGACCTAAGTTCCGTCAAATCTTTGTTGAACCCATCAACCCATCACCACAAGTATTTTCACGTGGCTTCTTCCCAGGCCGCTCTTCCCATTGCCAAAATCAACAGAAGAGTTGTCGTCAGAGCCCCAAAGTCTGGATTTGCTTATATTTGCTTCTTGATCTTCTTGGGTCGCCCCTTCAAGGTTGTGGGCCTTCACACTCTTGGAACGCTCGGCGCTGGTTTTTGGGAAGCAGCATGTGGTCCACAAGCTGAGAACACAGCCTGCAAAGAGTGTGTGCTTCAAGATTGTTTTAGCACCCCCAAGATGAAAAGGGTCAGACTCTGTTTTCCACAACTGTATGTCAGCAGTGGGCAAGCATGTTTTTGAAAGGAACTACATCTTGGGCATGCTATGACTTGTTCGGCGGGGTGCTTTGTGTTCGCCGAGCTTGGGAGATGATTGAAGCTGCTGCGCGCCACCTATGGGGAGTTGAATGCAGGGTGAGCCATACTTTCACAGTTTCTTTGCAAGCAGGGTGTAGCGAACAAACAACATATTCATGCATTGTGTACAAGAAGTTGGGGGATATGTTGGGGGTCTTGGTATCTCTTGGTCCGGCTCAGGTGGAGAAAGCCCGCAGTTGCATCGCTCTCTCCAAGCAGAGCTACCCTGGAAGCTGCATTTTTTCAGATATCTTGCACTTGGTCAAGAACCCTCCAAAATCAAAGTCATGGAATCCATCACAGCTACAGCTTAAGAAACATGGGTTCTGCCAACAACACAAGACAGAGTGCCTTGATTGAACAATCTGAACATATTTCAAAATGTGCTCAAATTAATTGGCACCTTCAACCCGACGCAAGCCAATCTTCGCCCAACCCACTGAATTGAGGTGCCCACTGAAGATGGGATCCATGAGCTGTGGCCTGATTGGGGCCCCGTGCATTCTTTTTTCATCGTGCCCTGCTGGAACAAGGTTTGCTATTATTGTCAATGATTGTGGATCAACGCATTTGCCAAAAAGCTATGTTGGTCACCTGCCAGGTATGGGCTACGCCAGGGCTTCAAAAACCTGGTTCTGAAGAAGGTTCATGATGTGTCCACCAAGTTCATCAAGGACACGCCCATTTCAATCCACGAGAATGTGGTTGGATATGAGGAGGTGGGGAAATACAATTCCAAATCTCCAGATGTTTCCTTTGTTTTTTGGCAGGCCTACTTGAAGCAGCACCTCAAGCAACACGCGATCCAGACAGTGACGCCTAAAGCTCAATGTCTCAAACATTCTGTTTACTGTAACTGTTTGGTCATGTTGGATCAGTGGCGTCCCAAGGCTGTGTCCAACACAGTTCGGGCACCCCAATCACAGACTGAGAAGCTGGCGAATCATTTACAACAAGAATAAGAAGGTTTGGTCCAGCCCTTTATCTTTGGAGGAGTTGGCAGACCTGATTCTTGCTCGGAAGAAATGTCAGTTGAAACTTGATTCGCAAGCTTACCTTGTGGCATCCCGAGCCCAGCTGAGAGAAACCCAAGTCTATGAAAGCCAGCTGTCAAGGCAAGGCTCTCTAGCACATGGCCAAAAAAATATCACTTCAAAGATCTTCAAAGAAGACGTCCAAGCCTGCCCCGTTGCAGGTCCCAAGCCTACCACCTGTCCAAGTACCGGGCAGCTGCACCAGGGTACAAAATCTATGACCTGTCAGCGAATTGCGCAGTTCGCAAGCGGACTGACTTGGTGGATGGGAGCGTGCCGTGCTTGACAACTTCCAGCCAATTGTGGTCCCATGACTGAACGTGTTGCATGTGGCAATCGCATCGTAATCATAACCTCAAAGGATTTGAGTTGGTCTTGCTGGCAATTCAACATGATGTCAAAACACTTGGTCTGGTTGTTGCTCATTCCCAAGGTCCGAAAAGAAGCACCGGCTGATGCTGGGGTGGGAGCAGCTTCATGTGTTGGGCTATCCGGTTTGGGGGCCGGGAGCACAGGCTGCTGGTGTTGACTCTTGTCTCATTCTGTAATTTCCTTGTTACAGTGTGAGGGGACATAGATAGCATATTCAACATAGATTACATCCCTGCCCAGGAGTGTGTGGACACCAGCTATTTGACAGAGGCCAGCCTTCGCACCATGAGCGGCAATGGAATGTCGCTGGCCTGTGCCGGGTTCACAATGTTGATGGCAGTTCTTTGCACCAATGACCGGTGAGTAGTTTGACGGTCCGGTTCAGATTTCAAATTCGAAATTCATTCCTCTTTGTGGAACCAAGCCACAGCACAGTGCAGTTACAAAAGGCATCTGGGAAAAACAAAGGTCTGTGGTTAGGTGTCTGAGATGACCTGAGATATAAACCAAACAAGTCTGTCAGTCCCTGTTTGGAATCATTTCGTAGCAAACAATAGCAAGATGTTCATCATATTGTAATATGCGTGTGTTCAAGCCAACATGCCACCTTTCGGTGATGAACCCGGGGAAAAAACTCCTCGACCATTAGACTTCCTCAGTCTCCGCCATGCCCAGCCAAAGACACGACCTCTTCAACAGCGCATCTTTGGGCATGAGCCTGCCGAGTGCAGAGATGAAGTGGGGAGAGGGAGGATGGCCTGCACTGGACCTGAAACCAGACCAAAACAACCAAAACGACCTTTTGAAGACGAAGATGATGAATCCTGTACACCTTCTTTGCCATCTAGATTGAAGCAGGGAAGACCATCTGGTTCAGTAGCTTCAATATTTGGAGATGAAGGGCCTGAAACAGACATGACCATTTTGCCTTTCCCAAAGGCATCTGCATCACGGCAACCGTTTGCAGATGAAGAAGGTGAGAGTAGTGGGGCTTCTTCTACAAATGATGAAATGTTCCAAGTGAAAAAAGAGACTGTCTTCTCGTTCGGTTGGTCCTCTGTAGCCTCTTTTCAGAAGGCTACATTTTGGCGGGAACAAATGGATGATGAGAAGGCTCAGAAACCGAAACGGGCCTATGACAACAGCAAAAGGTCTAAGGCAGCAGCTTATTCAAGAACAAAGTCCCGTGGATTTTACAAGCGAAACGGTTTGGACCCTTCGAGACTGGAAAAGCTTTTTGCTACCAACTGTCTATGCGCCTGTGGTGGCATTAGACTGCAGGAATTTAGTGAGATAATGTTCAGGAGTGACTTTTGATTTTACCTCCATGCTTCTACCCATTCCCAGTTTGTTACCCCAGACTTCCAGCAAGGTGCCCGAAAGACATGCTTCCAGCAGTTCATCGGGTCGAAAGAGCTGGCTTCTTTTCTTGACAAGTTCTGGAATCTGAGCAAACAAGATCAAGACTCCATTGCACCTAGCAGCGCATTAGAGTGTAGCTTTTGTATGGGTGAAACAGCGCTGTGTTAGTTTGACCTCTTCCCAAAAGAGCCTGTTCCAAACTTCCCTGTTGCTAAGATGGAGATCTCAACAACCTCTGGCACTGGTGGCTCTACCTCATGCACCTTGCTGGACAAACCCACAGGGTTCAAGTGCTTGTCGGCCTTGCTTGGAGTCGGCTCCAACCGGTTGGAGAAGAAGGCCTCTGGCAATCCAGACCTCAGGTTTGGAAAGCATGAGCACAAAAGCCGTCCCGGCACCTGGACAGTGGATGGGTTCCTTCAAGTTGCTTACAATGCTATAGCTGAGACCCTTCCAGATGAGTTTCTTGTTCCAACACATCAGGAAACTGTATTCTGGACCCAACCTTATGAGGCTCCCCTCCAACAACCTTATGAGGCTCCCCTCCAACTTTATTTAATATTATATATATTTACAACTTACAACAAATCTTTGACATCGCATCAAAGTAAAATACAGTTTCCTTTTCACAATCAAAGACCAAGGTTTGTTCGTAGAGGGCGAGCTTCACATAGAAAAAGAGACCTTGACGACAATGACCCAAGCGACTGGGAAGAGGTGGCTTCTGATGTTGAGAATAAGGAGGAGCTTCGAGAGTGGCTGGCGACCGAATCATGCAAGACCACCTTGTTGCCACACAACCAGTTGGTCAGGAAATGGTTGCCGCCTGGCACAGTCATGGACTTGTATGAACATTACAAGTCGACCCAAGCCATGTTGGGGAGCCATGCAGTTTCGCACCTGGAACAAATTCAAAACCTTGCTTTTTGCTTGCTGACCCCAAAGGTGTTGTGGGAGCTTTCAAAAGGTGCTGGTTCCAAATATATTCTGGGGTCTTGCCCAATCCTGCCCAGGTATTCAACCTTCAATGATGTGTTCAAAAGGCGATGGTCTGACGTATTACATTTCCGATCCAGAAGCTTGTTCACTACCTGTGAGGTGTGCAGTGCTCTGAAGGAAGAGCTGTCAGACAAGTCCCGTGGAGTGGAAGACAAGCTACAAAGCCTACAGCAGTACCGATTTCACCTACATTCCCAGTATGCTGACCGCTCTGCCCTGTGGCAGCTCCAGAGCCAATCCAGTGAACCAGACAGTGAAGTGCTCTTCATCTCAACTGATGGCCTAGACCAAGCCAAATTTGCTCTACCAAGGTATCCAGGCCTCAGGGCCAACGCATCAGTGTCTACTGGCATGAATCCTGTGTTTTTTTGGGTTCACCCGGAATCACCTCAAATCACCCGGAATCACCTCAAATCACCCGGAATCACCCCAAACCCACCAAGCTGAGGGGGAAGCATGAACGCCCACGCCTGAAGATCCACGGCATGTGGGCCTTCGGGCACAGTTTGAACATATTCATTTTGGACGATTGGGCCAAGCACGACTCAAGCGCAATACTAGAAATGCTTGCTATTACCCTTGAACGGGCTCCTTGCCAACAAAGGAGTTCTATTTTATCTTTTATCAAATGACTCTGACTCTGCTGTAAAAATTACCTACTAATCTCTTGTTTGGTCACCAAGCTCTGTTTGGTTCTTTCCGTTCTTTCCGTATAGGGCCGGACTTGTTAGCGACCAGGTAATGCAGCGGTGTGATGAAGAACGTCGAACACGACCAACCATGTTGATAGTAAACGCCTCTTGGTATGAGATTTGGGGCTGAACCTTTTTGGAGTGGTATGTGTGTTTGGGTCCTGTGGGTCCTGTGGTGGGTTGTTTTGAGCTTTCCAACTTCCAGGCGGACAACACTGTCCGCGAGTCCAAGAACCAATATGTGTTGACATACCTGCATACATTGGTTGCGCAACACCGCATGAAACTATGCTGCCTTTGCCATCTCAGACGGAGTCACACCCACTGCAGGATAGGTAATTGGGCACCAGATTGAGTAATTGTTGTTTACGCAGAGTTTATATTTTAGGAGGTTGATATAATTATATAATTGTTTTTATGTCTGTTTGAAGAGAGCTGCCTGAGATCATGGCTGTTGCAACTAAGACCAATTGTGGGGAATCATAAGCCGGAGAGTGGGTAACGAATCTTCCCTACAAGATCCTGGTGATGTTGCTGCAGCCATAACCCATGAGCTCTGCAAGCACAGCATAAAGGACTGGGTGGGTCCAGCAACAGCTGTCCATGTTGAGAAGCTGAACGCGACCCGTGACTGGGCAGGCCATTTGCCTAACCTAGGAGTGAAGCTCGAGGGCGGCCTGCTCAAAGATTCATCAGGGAACCATTTGTTTTTGAGTATGCAACGTCGAGGTTCTGGGAATGCCAAAAATGCACAATCTTTGAATTATGGTTGAAGTGTTTTGCAGCCACACTGAAGCATTGGATATTGAATTCACACCGCTCCCTGTAGATGTACCAGCTGCTTTGGCCCGTGCTATCAACCAGGGATCTTCCCGCGAGATGCCTTCTCAGGGTGATGTGATTCTCTTCATCAAGAAATACATTTCTGATGATGAACTATCTCAGGAACCTATGCTGGTGTTGAAAGAGTCACGCGCGCGAGACTTTGTCCTGAATCCACAAACCAAGACCCTGGTCTGAGTCCAGTTATTGTTCAGCTGTTTTTTGGGGGTCTCTCTTCAAAGGATGGGGAACAATAGCAACCAGTAAACAACTTCACCTTCCCCAAACAAAATTATATCTGAGGAAAGCCAACAACTACACCGCTGCTGTGGCTGGGGGGTTGCAAAAGCTGGCTGCTGCCATTGAGTTCTCCTACGGGGAGCGCTACCAGAGAAGCCTTGACTACCTGCAGGCCCTGATTAGCAACTCCTTTTGGACCAATGCCAGCTTGGCATCCCTGCCATGGCACAGTGCAGTCCATGCTCCTCCACCAGCTCGGCCTCCAGTGGCCATTCATGAGGCAGTGCTCAATGCATTGGCGCCTTCTGTTCCGTTGAGAGCTATCTTTAGGAGGAACTAGCTGGATTGACAAAAGAGCTTTCCAAGAAAATTCTTGAATCCAGAAGTCAAGCCCAGCAAAAGAGGCCTGGGAAACTACGGTGCTGCCAGAAGGGTTTGTGTTAGGTCCTCAAAGCTTTTCAGGAGGCCCCCAAAGAGTCCAAACACTGGGAATGATTTCATTTGTTGGTGAGATTCATTGAGAGTCCACATCCCACCATGAAGGGGCCCACGCCGATGTTCGATGCACCGATGGCTGCCGCCAGCAACTTTTCGATGCACCTTGGGGCGATGGGGCCCTAGAATCGATGCACCTTGGGGTGATGTGACACTAGAATCGATGCACCCTGGGGTGATGGGACACTAGATTCGATGCACTTCAGGGCTCCGACATCCCCGATATTTTCAATGCACCAGGGGGTGGGGGGGGGCAGGTTCAGTTTGGGTCGATGCACTTTGAACTAGTCACACCAAATTTTCGATGGACTGTGGGGGGATTCCATGACTTCTGATGCTGTTTCGATGGACTGTGAGGCTCACAGTCGATTGAAAACTTAGTCAGGGTGTTTGCAAACAAGACTAGGTGCATTGACTTTGCCGCAATCCCTGAACACAGGAATCGATGGTGTGTGAGGCTCACAGTCGATTGAAAACCTTGAACTTGGAGGTATCAGTTCAATTCCAGATTTCAGTTTTGCAACATAGAATTGAACACACCCCTTCAAAACCCAGCTTTTCGATGGACTGTGAGGCTCACACACCATTGAAATCATGTTGGACTTCATGGTTCAGAGTCGATGGACGTTGTGTAGCCCCTTTTGGTTTTGACAGCTGTTGGGCTGTTGATCAGCTGCCATGGCATCAGCCCAGCTGATGCCCTTCAAGGCCAAAGCTGAGGAGCGAGCCACAAAGCCGCTGCCAGACACTGAGGCGCCTGTCAAGAAGCAATGCACTCAGTATGAGAAGCAGATTCAAAAAATGGACGGCGATCCTGGGTTGGTGAAGGACTTTAACCAAAGATTTTTGTTCAATATGGGCCAAGAATGTTGGGGTGTTTATTTTAAGGAACAAAGAAGGGATCGTATTTGGACATAGTGATCTAGCGCAAGTTTGTAGGTGAACTTTACCCCTGCAGGATATCTATAGCTACCTGACCTCCTTCCGACAGGAGTGCGGTGAGTCTGAGGGAGATGGCTCACACCCGGCATCTTTGGTTTTGGAACTATTGGGTGAAGGTGATCCCAGCACTCGCCTCCAACAGCTTGATGCCTGGTACCAAGATTACGCAGCTTTCCGCAAGATGCCATACTTGTACAAGAAAGCTGGATTGGACCTTTGGTTGGGGAGTTGGAAGTTTTGATTTCAATACCTTGTTGGATTAGACCTTTCCTTTGCTTGGGATTCCTTGTGGATGGTCACTGTATAAGGAGATGGACCCATCTATGGAGAACGAAGTTGCGAAGCTGCCTATTGTCTGCCTGAAGCCACTTGGTGTTGACCGGCCTGTAATTATTTTTTTTGGTGGCCGTATTAGAGATATTGGACGATCTGGGTTTTAGGTACAAAAAAAGACACCAATCTCTAGGTATGAGAAGCCGGACGACGGGCTACCAGTGGTGGGCGACTGGTTGCAAACAGCCGAATCAATGCTTTTCGGAGGCATAGACCTTGCCCGCGAGCCGCTGGACGTTTCCCTGCCAACCGTTGGAGGTGTGGTATTTGTTTGTGTACACATGGACCAGCCCAGCCATCATACAAGGCCCCCCACGTTTCATATTGTTTTTTATACACATATGTTGTCAGGGTTTTGTGATCTTTGGGATTGAAGAAATCGTTTCTGCAGGTTTTCGCTTTCCCTGCAGGTGTGTCATGGCCATGTGAGATGCAGGGAGTTGATGTGGTCAAGGGGTGGACCCGAGCTTCAGTGGTTGCCCTGTTTCTACTGGCGGCTAGCGAGTTGGACATCAATGATCCAGCATGCCAAGAGAAGTTGAAGCCCATGTACAAGGTGTTGGATCGGGCCTGGACAATCCCCTGCCACGTACCTGTTCTTGAAATCCGTGTGTTAAAAGCTTTCTGTTCCGTTTTCCTTTAGTTTATTTCTTGTGGAAAGGGTGCATCACACACAATATCCCTTTATGTGCGCTTCACATGATCTAAGATCTCCTACAACATGGACATGAGCCAAAGATCCTACCGGAATTTGACGCTTTCCTTTAGAGGGAGCGAGCGCCAAAGCCCGAATTGCCTTCAATTGGCCCTTCGCTTTAGCCGGATCATGGAGGAAAGGGCATCAGAGCATCCTCCAGGCACCAGCACAGACGACCGTCTGAAGGCTGTCATCAACGAGTTCCACTCATCGCATGGCTTGGCAGCAAAGCACAGACTCGATGAAGACAAGCGCCGCTCTGTGTACAACATCATTGCGGGCACTTGCCCTGACCTTTGGCTTTACCTGCTGTTTATTTATATTTATACCCTTAAAAAAGTCACAAATCTTTGAACCAAAGAGCCAGGGCAACAAAAACTCTTGGAGACAACTTCACAAGCCAAGGAGGCACGCCATGTGTTGCAACTCCACATTGACCACGTGAAGTGGGCGCATTCAGCATTTTCGACGGAACAGCTGAAGAGTCAACGCTGGATGATCGGAGCATCGCCCAAGGGATCCATTCCGCCTGCACTCAAGAAGGCACTCACTGTGACTCCGCAGTCCCAGGTTATGCACTTCCGTCTGGTGGTCAGCTGCTTTACCGAAGCTGGTCGTCGCTTGAGGCCAACATCAAGGTCAAGAGTGAGATGGTCCCAGCAGGCATTTGACAGTTGTTGCGACCTGGCGTGCGTCTATTCAGCACTGTTGGATGAGGCCAGATTGCTCAGCAGTTGGACCGATGCGAAAGAAGCAGCTGTGCTCAAGGCCTTTTTCCAGAGGTTCCTGGGAATTAGTTTCAACATGTTTTTTGGTGTAACTATGGAGCAACTTGAAAGCTGTCTCCTTTAACCCACTCCAATGTTCCATATGTTCCTTCCAAGGGACTATGTGGGCGAGGTGGAGGCCGCAGTCACCGCCCGACTCAGCACCTGGAACCTTTCCCATTTGGGCATCTGGTGTGACTTGGTCCAACCGCCTGCCACTCCAGTGAAGGTGCACACGGCGTCAGAAATCATGGAGCTTGAAGACGAAGCGCGAACTGCCAAGTTTCGTGAGGTTCGCGCCAAGTTGTCGCAGGATACAGCGGCCATGGTGGAGTTCAACAGTCAGAAGGAGGAAGCAACACGTCGCTCGCATGTTGTGAAGGTCATGCATGAACGCTCCCAGCTGGAGATTGGCAAAGAGCCACTAGACTCAATATCGTTTAACAGAACCCGGAAACGCATATACATATATTTATACATACAATACTATTTACAATATTATGTATGTTGCTTGGCATTGCCGGACCCCGGGCCCAATGCTTTTGATTTTTTTCAACCCCACCATCTCCCTCTGTGGCCTCTTCATCATCAATCGTCCCAAGGCTGAGCGAAGCCTTCATGGAGCGAAGCTGCCGCGTGTCAATGTTGACCGAGAAGAATGGCTTGGACCCGAAACTGGACAATCTGTACCGATCTGCATCTTTGGTCCACAAGGCCAAACTTTTGGGCAATGTTTCTTTTTTGTATAAGTAAGGTAAAGGCACAATCTAAAAGGGTGTTCAATCTCTGCCTCAAAGTCTAACAACCTGTGCCCGGAAGGTGAGCCCACAGGAGATTGACACGATTCTGTACATTGACTGCACCAAGCTTGGTGTTCTCACGCAGCAGAACATCAATGCGCTGGGTGATCTGGCAGAGCGTGTTCTCTTCAGGGTTCCATCTCGTTTCTTGATTGTATAAACAACATCTCTTTCCCAAAGTGTTCAACCAACAAAGGAATCGTATTTTGGTTCCCTACTACAATGTTTTGTGAAACTTAGTCAGCATTCCAGGAAGTGTAATGGTGCTGATCCCACCGCTTCTGGTTGGGGCTGATGCTGCGGGGTCACTACGCAGGGATATTCGGACAGGGTTGGGGTCAAAGCCAATCACTTCCCCTGTTTTGGATTTAAAGGTGCTGTTTTCCGGTTCTAGATGTAAAACACTCACTGTGTGTTCAAACCAGGCTTCAAAAACTCTAACAGGAAGTTGGAGGACAAGATGCAGAACCACAAGATCGAGCTTCGTCCATGGACTCTGAACTTGAATTTGGAGGAGCTCCATCGCAACAGAGAGTTGCCTGGGGCTTTCTTATGTTTCTTGGGGGTCCCAGACATGACCCTTCCAATCCGTGGAACAGCTCACCGATCAGTGAGGGGCACGCCTGAACCAGAACATGCGATCAACGCGTTTCTTGTCCTTGAAAGCCATACTCTTTTTCTTGACTCTTTGGGAAACTATGGGCACCAAAGATAACACACGATGACTTTTCCAAACCCAGCCACTTCTCCCTCAAGGTTCTGCAGCAGCGCCTTGTGGAACCGCCAGGTATTGCAGGAGTTCCCGGTGGCCATTCAAGAGAAAGATTTTTGCGTGCCTGGAGATGTCATGCTGAGCCATTGTGAGCGGCGGAACCTGACTGACCTCCAGGAAACAAGTCAATGGCTTGGGGGGGTCCAGGTTCCTCGATGCGTCCTGAAAAGCCTCCCGAGTACCATGCCAAATAAGGTCAGTCAGATTTTGTGGTGAAATGGTTTAGTTGATTTATAGTTTTTTGTTGATGTACCTATACAAATATAGTTCTAGAGAAAACATGTTAAACACAGACCCAGCAGCTCAACCATAAGGTGGTGTGAAGCACAACTTTGGGACTGTGGTCATCCATCCAACCGCCTATGACGGGTGCTTGGAGCTTGCTGCAATTGAGCAAGGCCTTTGGATTACCGGGACTGCTACAATGGACGCTCACTACAAAGCTTGCAGAGATGCTGTGAAGAACCATTTGCTCGAGGAAATTCTATGGCAAACATATCAGGTTTTTAGCTAGTTCAACACGTGTGTTTGATTCAGTATGTTGTTGATTCGCTAGCTGCTAGCCTTTCTTTGGGCGTTCAATCTTGGGTGCCCTATCAGGCCTGGAAGGCCAATCGCATCCCGATGGACAAGCAAAACCAGAGGTACAAGAAGGACGTTGGTGGTGATGACATGCCCAAGTCTCCCCAGGTCCCAACTTTGCAGGTTTGCCAGTACACGGATGGCAAACTGACAATCCCATCTGATGTTAGGCAGCACTTCATGCAGTGCCCCCTCTTCGGCCCAGAGTGGAGGCAGTTGGTGGTGGAATTTGACAAGTCTTGGGCTCCTGTGGCTGAATCCACCCCATCCCGCTCGCCTCCAACCAGCGGGACTCCTGTGGGAGGCAGCACTCCTGACGTCAAGAATGAGACCAAACAGGAGCCCGGCGTCAAGATGGAGGATGATTTTGATTGGAGTGGAATCTTCTCGGATGCCCCTGCTACCTTGCACAAGCTGAAGGAAAAGTTTGGGGCTGATGCAACCGAACTCAGTGGCCCTACTCCTCAGAGTTCCTTCTACCTAGCACCAGGACCTCAGCTCTACCTGGTTGCGAAGGAACCCATCCACATCCAGTGCCGGGACGCCCCAATTATCGCTCACGGTGCCGGATCCTGGCTCACCGGCGACAAAGCCACAAAATTTGAGAGCAATACACCGGATCGTGGCATCCCATGCCGGATGATGCATGATGAAGAACCATGTGTCTTTGAGGAGTCACCGGGTTGACAGCCCCCAAAAATGTATGCGTGCAAAAAACACACTAAAAAACACATGCGCATTCTGTTTGAAACCATTGTGTTAAGACATCTAAAAGTATCTTGTGATTGTGTTGGTGGCCCTCCAGGAAAACGGCACAGATCGTGCACCTCAGTCTTTGAGGGCTTTGCTCCAATCTGTTGAGACAAGTGGAGTGGTCGACTACACCATCGGCGGGCACACATGCAGCCGGCCTGCGGAGGTGAAGCAAGGCAAAGCGCCGGACAGCTTCGAGATCCAGCCTGATGAAAGCAATCCGTGCTTGTGGCGCCCGCAAGCGATTCAACAGAAGAACTTGAAGGGGGCCAACGTCGCATCGCATTTCTCTTACCCTTTGCTGAAAGCTTCCCCTTTGGTCTTGGCCCCCTGGACTTGATGGACATATACTTTTTTGTTTCCTTTAGTCTGTTAGTCCAAATGGGTTGGGTCTCTTAAGAATCGACCATCCGGAGTCCCAGGTCTGGCGTATGAGGCTTTACAAATCTGAAAAGGTGATTGCCGCGGCGAAGCCGCTCTGGTTTTTGCCGGATGATGTCAAGTTGCCAAAAGATGGCTGCCAAAGGCTCATCTAATCTAATCTGATCCTGCGGTTCCTTTCCATTTTTGAGAAATTCTTCAGGAATATATAACGTCAATCAGAACCATTGGAACTTTTTGGCTGTTGCAGCAGGAAGCGCTTTTGGGGAACCCAGTATGTCAAAACTGGGCGTTTCTTCACTACGATGCTAGTGAGGCACTATAGATTCTGGTGGGATGGCATTATTTGCCAAAGAGTGGGGGAGGCAGTACCAAAAATGATTTGCAATCAGTCTGAACAAAGAAGAGATTGAAATCAGTCTGAGTCTACATCATGTGAATGTAGAAAAAATATATATAGACAATTATAGACATATAGGGATGCACAGCTGTGTTGAAATCATAACAGATGCACAGTTAGACCTTTGCAGTTTCTTTGTGTTCTCAAGTCTTGTTTGCTGCCAGTTGGATTTTCCACCCATGACAACTTCCCTGCCGACCCAAATCGTGGTGGATGATTGCCTCCTGGAGTATGAGCTTCCAAAGCCCGCTAGCTGTGGAATGTTTGGCCAGGAACGCCCTGTGTCCTCTCAGGGACCTGGCTTCCACACCATCCGTGACGACTGCCCACGACCCCGCTTTCAAGGCTTGTGCCTTGCCAAGAGCGTGCCGCTGATTGCTGCAATGCCTGTGGAGCCGTGTGTTGAGTCACCAGACTCACAGCTGCTCTTTGACCCTGTTGAACCCGCTCCACAGCATCTTGGCTGTTGATTAGATTCACTAGAAAATCACATCACATACCCTCACAACATCTTAGAATGTAACCAACCTATTCAAGTCCCTGTTCATTACCTGAACTCTAGGCCCTTCTCTGCTGTGGGTGAAGAGACCGAGATCGATGAATCTTTCTCAACACGAACGCCCCCTGTGTTTGGCAGCCTTGAGATGCCAGTGGATCCTGAGCGACCTGGCGGAATCAAGCGGAAACTCCAGGCCGAGTTTGAGAACCATGGTGATCCAGTCCCTCCTGTGGATCAACCCAATCTCAATGGTGAAATCCATGAATCTCAGATGAAATCGGTTGGGCATGTGGAGGATACTGTGGAGGATTTGGAATCGCTTGGGCATTGCCTAGATGACGAAATGGAAAAGGATGCAGTGCCAAACCATGAGTACAAAACATCTGAGAAGGCGCGTGAGAACAGCCGGAAGTGGCACCAGAAATGGATCTCAAAGGGGGTTCCCCGAGTGTCTGCTTCTACATCAACACCTACCCCGTCAGCTGCTACGGCTGCGGCTGCGCCTTCGAATCCCCCGCTTTCTGATGGTGGAGTGAGTCTCGCTAAGGTGAAGGACCAATTCATTTCCAAGTGGATCAAGGAATCCAATATGGCCCCTTCAAATGAAAGGCGGGCTGCAGCAATCAAGGCTTGGATGGCAAGCCAAGAGCGTGCAAATTTCTTGGCTGGCCGTGAGGGAGTCCAGAAGTAAATCCACACTGACTCAAACCCCTAGTTACTAGTTAGTTGAAATCCTGATTCCCAAAAATCTGTCGTTTCTTGTACCAAGGTGGATTCCCAACCTTACTGTTAGAAGGTTGCTGCTGCCAAGGGGATATTGGCGGCTGCACCAATTCCGAGAAAAAAACATGTGTTTCATTGAACCATCATTGCAAAGCCGGAGGTTTTACCAACCAAGTCAGAGGGCTGCCACCCAAGTGCCCAAGGCCCAACCCAAAAACGCCTCTCTGATGAAGCTGGTGATCAGGCCATCGCCTGGGGTTGGGCAGGGGTCGAATGGAATCATCAACCCCTGTTCCAAAGTAGGGGCTACACAGCGTCGCTACTAGTAACAAGGGCATCGGTACTAGTCACAAGTGCATTGCTACTACGACCCGTAGTAACAAGGTGCATCGCTGCTAGTAACAAGGCATCACTGCTAGTAACAAGTGCATCTCTATTAGCAACAAGTGCCAAGTGCATGGCTAAGTATCAAGTTCCAAGTGCATGGCTACTATTAAAAAAATAAAAAATATAAAGACACCATATGTATATATATATATAAATGTCGTCTAAACCCTTGCCCTGATCCCCTTTGCTCCAACTCTGCGCCCCGGCTACACCCCGGCCGCAGGCCGGGCAGGCAAACCGCCGGTGCCGGTGGCCACGTGCTGGTGGTGGCAGGGCCGTGGAAAAAGTTGTTTTTTTGAACTCTTGAAGGGTCCAATTTCTTGATGGGGGTATGACCTGTGTTCAAACAAATGTGGAAGATGTTTTTACTGTTGTTTGTTCCATGTCAAAACCATGTAGAACTTACTCTAAGTAACATGAAGACCCCAGAGCCCAAAAACAAACAGCAGGTTCGGCCAGCGCTGATCGTAGCAGGTCTCTCTCTCACTGCACACTTTACCTTCCAGTGTTCGATATAGATATATATATATATATTTGCCGGAACATCTTGTGTCGGAAAGCGTTTTTGAACTTCTGCTTCCTTGCAAACACATGTGGGTTGTTTTGGCCATGAGGCCATGATTGCTTCAACAACTGCAGCTTGCAATGGTGTCTGATTTTTCACCAAACTGCAGCTTGCAATGGCCAGCCATGTTTTTATGCCCACAGCAACTGCAGCTTGCAATGGCCATGTAGCTTGCCAATTTAGTCCATGGTAGTGGAGCTTGGTAGTTGAGCTTAGCCACTTTCAAACTTCAGATGCCATCAATTCAGCCTCAGATGCCACCAATGTAACTTTATACATGACCACTGTTTCAGCCCGCTGGCGTTCCATATAGCGGGAGAGTTCTGCGTCAGCCGTCGACCCCGTGACAAACGGCTGCCTCGAGGAGTTGCAAAGGCCAGCGCAGCCGGCCGCTTTGATGATGGTTCCCTGCGCTGATTTACAGTATGTTGTTCACCCTTAAACTTACCCAAGGCCTTTTGGATACTTCAGTGACTTCAGTGGACCCATATCGCCCAAGGTCCACGTCACTAAGGAGTACTTTCGCCTTGCTTGCAACTTCTGAAGGCTGCCAGTGCGTCTGTTGGCTAAGAACTCCATTCTCGTGCGAGATGTGAGGACGAGTCCGACCTGCAAGCCATTAAAGCTCCCGTATACAAGGCCCTGCGCTTCTCTGAGGGTGTCAATGTCAAACTGCTCTTCCTCACCCCCGTAGAGACACTTCCACTTCCTGTATGCCCTTCTTTGAGCATGTCGAGGCTGTACTCCTTCTGTGTGGCGGCTTGATGAGAGTCACTTTGCGCGCAGTCGATCTAAGGCCGCAATCTCTTCATCTCCTCCTTGAAGAGTCCTAAGAGCAATACGAGCTGCATGCCCCCCCCAACTCTCCGAACTGGTCGATGTAGTATTACCGTGAAGTCGAACACGATGTTCCTCCACACCGGCTGGCGTGACTTCCACTGTGGCGTTGTCCCGAATAAGAGCATCATCGCTCAGCTTGATCTGGTTGGTCTTTGGCAGGTGGCTGGTCTATGTCGTCGAAGATGTCCCAGAATTCTGTCGGACTGCATCCTCCCCTACATGGCCAGGAGGTAGAGGAGGGGCTGCCAAGCATCGAGGTCGAACTGCAACCGTCGTCCGAAATCCGTGACCGTCAACCATGCGAGCCCACTATGTGGACGCCAGGCCTTCAGCAAGGCCAAGCAGCTGAGCTTGTGCCATCGGATGCCTCCAATTATCTTGTGCTCGGTGCCATGTCTTTATCCACGCCATGACTGTCGCAGTCTTGGCAAGCAAAGTCCCATCAGCTGACCCTCTGACGCGCCTCCGCACGTCCCATCCAGCTCTTCGGTGGCATAGGAAGTTGTCCATGGTCCGTTCCACTGTGCGACTCATCCGGCACCGTGGGCAGCTCTGAGGGACGCAGCGCGCGAAGTCGGTGTTCCTCTTACACCTCTGCACTCCAACAGGGGTTTCCACCATCCATGGCTCCAACGATCGATCGCGTCTCACGTTGGGCTCATAATCTGCTTTAGCAGGAGTGGCGCACCCTTTGAACTTGGCTAAAAAGCGTCTGCGATGCAACAGGCATTCATGCCCTTCAAGGTTTCAACTGACTCCAAAAACATGAGTGCTGTCCACTACAGGCCTTACCCGTGATGCACAGGGAAGTTCCGCTATTTCAGGAAATGCGTGGGAATATATAGACTCACCTTTTCAGAAGCCATCTCGGCACAGCAACGGGGCTCGCACACTGAGCTTTCCAAACAGTGCACCGCGATGCTCGGCAAATTCCTCACAAGAAGAATCTAACGCCCTTTCATACTGTCCCGTGAACACCGAGGAAAACACGGAGGCTATCTTTGAGAGATCACTGAGCAAAGCCACAACCTTGCAAATCCACCGAATCTGTCAAAGTCCCATCACTGCTGCTGGTCATATATTCTGAGGCACAAACCAGTGCTCCTTTGGCAGCGGTCTGGGCATTGTGAGTGCTCTGACTGCCAGCTACAGCATTGAGCCGGGATTGCAGGAGCCTGGCTGGCAGGCAAAACAGTGCTTTGCAAAAGGGACAAGGTCTTGCGAGAGGTGCGGCAGAACTTGCGCCATCAGGCCACAACCTGAGAAAGCACATGGCGTCTCAGCACAAAACACTGGCTGGTAGCAAGGTTCCAAGCACTGGCTGCTCAAGGCAAGATTGGCTGCTTTTATGTTGGGCAGCACCTGAAAGCGATGGGAATCTATGGACTCTATGGAATTGGTGTGCAGAATGTCACATAGAGTTGAGCCCGTTTACCGTCTTTTTGGAACAAATGATCAAGATCAAGGTCATTTTGGAACACAAACACTCATCCACAAGGCCTTTCTCTTTTGGACCAGAAAAACAACCGAAAACAATTGCTCACAAAATGACTAGAAAACCACCGAAAACCAACAGAATCCGCAGGCCATCTGAAGCCAAGCTCGGCAGGGGATTGGTGGGAGTGGGGGGGAGGGTGAAGCGTCTGCCCCAAAGAACACACCAACCTCGAAAGAAAGTTGCCCCTTCCTGCTCTAAAATTGACCCTTAGGTGGCCCACAAAGCGCATGCTGCAGTTTAATATCCTCTATATAAATAAGAACCTTGGGTGGCCAACAAAAGGTATGCGCTCTAAAGTTTGCCTTTGGGTGGCCCACAAAAGAAAAACCTGAACAACCACACAGCACAAGACCGACCAAAAAACACACATAAGTATCAGAATTAAAAGCATGCATCACAAGAACAAGGGAACAAAAAAGGCCTGAAACATACCAAGACCAAGAAAACATGAGTGCCAGGTGCCACGAGGAAAAAACACCAACAAAACCACACATCACAAGAATAAGAGAAACAAGAGGTACGAACACACAGGTTCCAAAATGACCCTGATCTCCTGTGTTCCAAAACGAACCCCTTCCCGTGTGGAAAGAGATGCAGGTGTAGGACAAGATGTGTTTGCAATACTCAAGAACTACAATGGAGCTTCATATGCATCTCTTCCTTGCCTTGTGGTGGACAGCTTGTCCATCGAGTACCAAACGCTGAGCCTTAATTGGCATGCATGCAGCAAGCACGTTCGACGTTTTTCGAAGTTATGTTCTCTGCTTGCTCTGCTGTTGCCCTATGCTGTTGCAGCCGACTCTTTGATTGAAGAGCCGAAGCAGCTGACACATTCGCTGCCTTGGAAGGGCGAGGGTGTTGGAAGAAAGTCATATTGTCATAATATCTGAGTGCACCAACACCACCTCAGCGGTCATGTCACTGAAGTCGCGGCCTGACAACTAAAGCAATTTGAATTTGTACACTTGAGGCATGAAGAGGAGATGAAGAAAAGCTGGCAAAAGAGTATGAGGGCTAAACGCCCAAACATATGTATATATACTATATGTATACAGTAAGTTATACAACTACTGGCTTTCTGGGTCAAGCGGCGAGTTGTTACCACCTAAAAAGTGGCGGCGGAATTTTACCAAATTTGCAACTGAGGTAGGTTGGGGCTGGAAAGTCGCATGTTAGTTTCTAACGTTTCTATTGCTGGAGCGGTAGGCTACTGCTCATAAGGGTGGTACTGGTGAATGTGCACTTCAAAGCTGGTTGAGCGTTGTTGAGCGGAAAACTTTGTTGTAGCGTCAATGTACCACTCTAACGGATGCGAAACTGCCACTTTAGCTGGCAGTGTGTGCACGTGCCAACTGCCAGCGAAGTGTTGGGTGCTTTCAAGTGGCTAATGTCGATCTTTGGTGCAAGGGCGTTTGTCGACGCTGGGACAACCACCCCCGGATGAGAACGGACCGGGGTGGAATTGAGACCTGGGGCGTCTCGATCTAAGTCTGAAACATCGAGGGTTGAGCCCACAAGCGACCCTGCCAGAATCTGGCAAGACCTAGCTTGCAGGTTATTGCAACATGTAAGGCTGGTGCAAAGCCGAATGTACTCTGCCAATAGCTGCAAAAGCGTCAGCACCTAAGTTGGGACAACGTACAAATGATCCCGATTGAAATCCACCCTGCTAGTTGACAATAAAATCAGGTTGCCTGAGCCTCAAGCCGCAGGGACCACCAAGTAGTGGCTACCTTCAACGTGAAGGTATCGCTCCACAGGCCTGGTTACACAAAACTTGGCAGTGGGTCAAGCTCTCAGCCGCCGAATTGTGTATGTCGGGGAAGTTCACCAACTAGGTTCTGAGGTCGGATGTCCTTCATGCCCAAAAAACTGAATGACACGAAGCGATGTACAAGTTGTTGGACTTTCGCAATTGCTCAGAAACAAAAATCGTTGCCAGGTGTGCGGATTGCCATCTTCGCCTCGAGTCCAAGTCCGAGTCCAAATATGAAATCTGGGGTCGGCATTCTACAGACGCAAAACTCGCTTTAAAGACCAAGATCCCAACTACCTTGCTCACCAGCCCTGTCACGAAGATTTGGAACACAAAATATCTCCAGAAGAAAAGCAGGGGTCACTCTGGGTGGCCAAGGATATCAGTCTCCAAGATTTTCTTGTACTGGACTGGCACCTGAGATGACACACTCAGACAGAAAGAGTACAGAACCGCCACCAAGCCAAGAGAATAAGCAATACAGTATACATGATTCATTAGTGAAAATGATATGTCATGATATTCCGCAATGCCGAGCCCTTTATGGTTTTCTCAATGATTGGTGTCTAATCATGGACCAAGCACATCAGTGCGCTCCCACCGTTCTTGCTCCAGCGTTTGCTTCCTGGCATGCTGGAACTAAAACTGGACTTTTACATCACTTGAATGGGACGCTCTTCATCCTTTGTGGCAATGTCAATCGAGTCCGGACCACGTCTGCAACAAACACTTTTGATGAAATTCCTCGCACATGTTTGTGCAGCATCGATCTACACACTCAAACACACATGCTGTGAGCTAAAGAAACCTGATGGATATTGGATCATAGCACAGCTCTCCTTTGCTAACACCCTAAACTACCAGTATAAAACAGTTACCCATATAGTTCTGTGAAGCTCCTCGATGATCGATTTTGTTTGGCTGTAGGTAATGGCCAATAGCCCAGCTTGAATTTCGACACCAACCTCAACTCAAAACTGCAGCATCTTTGAAAACACCATTGGCAAAGGCAGTTATTCCTGTGTCTTGCAAAGTAACGTGCTCGTCCAGCTGCACTTTTCTTTGACAACTTTGCTGGACCTGCTGGACCTGAGGAATTTTGCGGGCTGAGAAGTCCAATCGGCTGTGATACATCAGTGATCTTTCGGCCGTGACCTGTTCCAGCATGCTGTTGGTAAGGTGTAGAAAGCCTTGCCAATCAAGAATCTTCAAACCTCAGCTGACTCGAAACTACAAAACCATTGCACCATTTGTACATATTTGAACGTATTGACCAACTCTTCCCCCCCACCTTGATGTTCTTCATTGCGGGCCTCTACTCCAAAATCATCCCACTTGACAGGAAGGTGAAAAGTCGTGGCTCAAACTGTGGAGCTTGAGAAAGAATTGGAACACTTAGTTTGGTCCATGTTTTTGAGCCACAGCCACAAGCAGGATAAAGCTAGGCATGCGCCTGCAGCAATGCACCTGCTATTTTCAGGGCTTGTGCAAGCATGACCTGATGGTGTGGCAGTTCATGTAAAAATCAGGGAAAATTGAAGTCTCTTGGACGCCGAGTCTCTTGTTACGTTGCATCTATAAATCCAAGGCCAAAAGAATGTGTAACGGGACTGATGCAAACATGGGCGTGCGTGCGTGTGTGGATATCATAAATATATTTATATATCATTGCATACTATATACTATGGCGCACTATTTATATATATATATCGAAAAATATACAAATATGTATCACGCGTTCTATTTTTATATATACCATACTGTTTATATCATGTTTACATTTCATAGTAAATACATGATGCGATGATGTACATATAGTTATAGTTATATACCCCGGCTTAGCCCAAGCTAAGCGGGGCGGCCGGCACCGCAGGGTGGAACTTTCCTTTGGCCCGGCACTCGGGAGAATCTTGATTGGTGATACCCAAAACGAGCGACAAGGCGCGGGAAGGTATCCTAGGCCTCGGCCTCGGCAGCCAGCAGCTCTTCTTCTTGATCTCTCATGGCCCTCTCCATTGGCCGTTGTTTGTTGCTCTCAAACAAGCGTTTGCTGGAAGTCCGCTCCATCCTCCTCGTCCTCCTCCCAAGCCGTCCATGACATCTGATTCCTCGGCGCCATCGCCAGCTGCGACGCCGTCATCCCATTTGTCTTGCGTCCACCCATCGACCAATCGTGCTTCATCAGAGCCAGGGTCAGCTATCACAAGAGGCCCATTATCATAGTGTCCTCTGCCGGGCTCATCTCCATCGTCGTCAGGTCCCTCGGTCCGTCCAGAGTCGCTGGGCTAGGTGGTGGGGTCGCCGTTCCATGTGGCCACTTCTTCTTTCTTCTCCACCATTGCTGCCACTGTCGTGATGCAAATTTCACAAATTCAACAGTCGCTGCGCTAGCGCCGTCAGCCCGAAGACCGAAGCTCCGCCACCAGTGTCGGTAGCTGAGTAGCCTCAAGTGATTGAAGCTAATCCAGGATGCATGGCCACCTCAAAGGCCAATCGATGTATGTGCAACCTGTATAACACTGTAGCGCAAAAGTCGACGGATCGACCGACCTCGGTAAGCGGTCCCTAGGCAATTCGGGCCGTGAAGCAATGGAGAAGTCAACCAGGCTCAAACACAAGAGGTTGGTCAGGCTCAGAATTCGACGCGCGGCTATCCGTCCATCCATCCGTTCATCCATCCATCCATCCATCTATCCATCCATCTAAACATATATGCGAAAATCACACGTGAACGCCATCCATCTCAGAGGACAGGTTGATCGATCGTTTGGCTGCCTAGGAAAACGCCCTTTCGTGCTATAGGAGTCGGCTATCAATGTTCGACATAGCGGAGCCTCGGTTTATCCTAGGCTCCCGCTGAGTAGGATCTCAGCGCATGGCGGCATCGTTGGAAGGCAGTGGAAGCCTCCGGTCGTTCTCAGGTGACACCGAGGACGCCAAGGAGTACCGAAGATTGAAAAAAGTGCAACCCAAGGCCCGTGGGGCAAATACACACTCTTTTGACAGGCACGGCATTGGAGTGTGTGGAACACAAGCGGTCTCCTGAAAAGGAGACCAGCGATGAAATGAGCGAGACCCTGACCGAGATCTTCAACTTGAAGGCTGCTGACGGAGAGAGTCTGAAGACCTGGATTTCGCGGGCTTCGGAATTGTTTGAAAAGTGCGAGAGGAAAGTCAATGTGACATTCCCTGAGGAAGCTCGCGGCTGGTTGATTTTGAATCGCTTTGGCTTGACTGACGAGCAGAAGGCAGGCGTTCTTGCTCGCGGCCTTGGAGTGTTGAAGCGTGAGGAGATTGGTCGCGCCATGCGCTCCTGTTACCCAGAGTTTGTGGTGAAGAAGAAGAACTTCTGCGCAGGCATGGTTGAAGGGGACTTCGGACACACTGCAACCGAAGATCCCGAGCATGACGACGACCCTGACTTGCCCAAGGAGGTTGACACAACGTTTTTGCTCAAGATGTCGAAGATCTATGATGAACGCGAAGTGGCCGAAGCCTTGGCCATCTCCTGGAAGGATCGACGCAAAGAGCTCAGCAAGTTGCAACGGACCCGCAAATTCGCCGCGGCCTCAGACTTGAAGCGCAGCTATCGCATCGAGATCGCAGGGTTGAAACGCCGAACCAAGTGCCATCGCTGTGCATCAAGGTGCTTCCAAGCGTGAGGAGGGAGCAGCTCTGGTGACTGAATCCTCCGGACACACCTCAGAGGGGTATAAAATTCCTGTTGGGCAACGAAGACTTTGTGGCTATGGCAGCGGTTGTCCCACCACGTCTATACATTGGACATGTTGCGACACCGACACTCTGATCGCGTGGAATCATCTATGGTGCTTCCCGAAGTGCTGCTCGTGAGCTCGCCGTGGTATGGTATCCCGGACTCTGGGCGCGGCCGCTCCATCATCGGACGTGCGTGAGACGCTACAGGATCCGGAGTTTCGTCGCCTGTGGAAAGCAGCCCATATCACAGAGTTGGTAATGGAGAGAAAGAAACAACCTACTCCGTGATCCGTCTGCCAGTTTTCTTGGGTGGCAAAAAGGGTGCCATCAGGACAGCCATTGTGAAGGGACGTGCCCCGTTCCTGATCTCAAGGAACGCGCTGCAGACCCTCAAGGCGGTCATAGACTTTGGACAACAGCAGTTGACATTGTTTGATGAGAAAGTTGTGGTACCTCTATCGTGATCGGTGAAACAGTCACACCTGACTTTGAGCAGGAGGTCATGTGCAATCATCCAGAGCCTTCCACAGCTGCAGCAGAATCCGTGCCACGTGATGATCCACACCCCAGTGACTCCGCTTCGCTTCAGTCATGGTTTCGGGACGATTCGTTTTGCATACAGTTCCCACCATAGGAAAACAGGGCTGAATGTTGTGAGACGTAGGGTCACGAACCTGGACATGGATGAGGTTTTGTTCGATGAACGACGAATTGATCCACAAATTGGGAAAGCTTCTTTTTTCCCGAATGCGTAGCGAAGGGTTCCCGTTTATAGTTGGGGTCTGGGGGTTGGAGCTGTGTTTGCATGGCTGGCGTCGTCTCGTCGTCTCTCGTCGTTTGTCGTCGTTTGTCGTCGTCGTTGCGTCTCAAATTCGCTGCCATTGGGGGAAGCTTTTGCAAGTGACTTTGCATGGATGTGTCACGTGTCCGTTTGCGCCGCTATTCCATTGTGATTTGCATGACAATGACATGTCGCGCAAGAAGCGTGATGCATTTCGCTGCACAGGCGCAGCGTTTTGTGAGATTCGCAGATTGCTGCGCAGTTCCATTGGGATTAGCGTTTGGAGAGTCGTGTTTTTGGGGTGTTGGACGTGGCCGTGCCATTGGGATTTGCGTTTCAGGGTGTGGCATCGAAGCTCGGTTTTCGTGACAAGTCTCAGCTGAAATGGCAATTTTGGTGGATGGGAGTGTGCTCAGAGCGGGTCGAAATCATTCCAAACGTGTGGTGTGGTGCAAATTTTGTTGAAGCTCACATGAGATGATATTGTCACCTTTCGTGGCAGGCGCAGGACTTTGTGCGGGTTTTGAGGCGTGGAAGTGCGATTCTCGTGGCAGGCGCAGGGAATCGTGAGGTTGACGTGGCAGGTGCAGTACTTTGTGCGCGTTAGACGTGTGGACGGGTTGTGAGTTGTGGTATAGGTGAATGTCGCTGTCACATTGGGATTGGCGTGTGAGCGGATGTTGTTTGGAAGGGCTGGAATCGCGAAACTGCTTGGCAGGGCTGCGTGATGTGTGTGCTCCGATGGGTGTTTCCGCTTGACTTTTGGAGGAAGTCTCGTACGAAACGCTCGTTTTGCAGACTTTGACGTGTGAGTTTTTGAGGAAGTCTCGTACGAAACGCTCGTTTTGGAGACTTGACGCGCAACCCTCTGCGGAGATCGTGCGCGTCGAGTGCGCGAAATGCAGGCGAGAGTGCGATTTGTCCCACACGCGCGCAACCCTCTGCGGAGATCGTGCGTGTCGAGTGCGCGCGCAACCCTCTGTGGAGATCGTGCGTGTCGAGTGCGCGAAATGCAGGCGAGAGTGCGATTAGAGTGTCCCACAAGAGCGTCCTACAAGAGTGTCCGACAAGATTCCTACAAGAGTGACCCACAAGAGTGTCCTACAAGAGTGTCCTACAAGAGTGTCCCAGAAGAGTGTCCGACAAGAGTGTCCTACAAGAGTGTCCCACAAGAGTGTCCTACAAGAGTATCCCACAGAGTGTCCCACAAGAGTGTCCTATAAGAGTGTCCCACAAGAGTGTC